ACGGTCAATCTAGCCGCCACGTTATTTCGAGGGTCGCGCATAAACGGCATATTACGGTAAAACCGTCAGCGAACTGATCTGAATGCAGTGCTCCTCTTCCAGCTGGGAAAAAATCGCGTTCGCTGGAAGAGGAGCACTGCATTCAGATCAGTTCTCTGACGGTTTTACCGTAATATGCAGTTTATGCGCGACCCTCGAAATAACGTGGCGACTAGATTGACCGTGATTTTCGATTTGGCGGCTGGCTTGACCGCAGTCCAACACTGCACTGTGAATTTTTTCAGATCAGAATAGTTAAGTTAAGGTAAATCGAGCTCGACCTAAAACAATGTTTTTGTATTCCAGCAGTCTGCGTGTTTATTGGTAATAGACGTTAAACATGAAGAATCGGTATTATTTGAATGTCTATGACAGCGCACTGCGTATTTATAGCCAAAAGAAATCTTAATATCAAACCGCAAACTATCTTTACTGCGGTACAAACCCCCCATGTTACGCACGCCTGGGTCAGTTAACAATGGAGTTAAAAGTGTTATGTTAAATGTTAATAAAGGTTTGTGGCGTGCTATCTTACCTAGTGTAAAGTTGTGATCGCAGAAGTTCAGATGTTGGTCAGTGGTCACTACTACAATAGTAGTGTACTATTGTAGTACACGCCTGTGTAGACGTAGATGTAAATGTAAAAGGGGCGGAGATCATGGTCGTCACTCGCTTTACTCAGTAACGCTGAATTAGTTAAAAAAATGATTACAAATGACAGCAAAGTCCTGTTTTCTTTTGCCACTTACACGTCCCAAGGCTTGATTTTTATTAAAGCTTTTTTTCTTTTTGGTACGTCAAGGTCACATTAAAACTGTCTTGGAAAAGTGTTTAACATGTACTGCTGTCCCAGACGTTTAAGCGTTAACTATGAAAATCTATTATAATAAATAGTATTATTTTACATTTATTGTGTGGAAACCCTGAAAAATATTGACTGTTTTCTCAATTTTTCCACTATGATAAATTTTTTTTGTCATGTTTAAATGTGTGAGAGAGAAACTAAATGATATGTAGGCATGGTAATAATCATCATCTCACAATCACAAAATAGCAGCCCTGACAGACCCAGGCTTCTCCAATGACTTTTTTATTTAAAAGTATATAGAGTGATGAAAATGCTGACACTTTTCTTCTGTGATGATTGTCAAAAGACATATTACTATATTACCTGGTTGAAAAACAAAACAAAACACAAAAAAGATAATTATGATGTCTAGATATATGGCAGAGTACTTGTTTTGAGATAAATCTAAGAACAAAAAAATACACTTGTTTGACAACAATGTTTGACGAGAATTTAAAATATAACTTATTACATGGATTATAAAAGATAATGAACTCCAAGGATTAGATTAAGAAACAATTAGGTTACATTTTAAACGCAATTGAAATCAGAGCTACCCAAAAATTGAGTGTGGGATATCTATGGGATCTAACTGATATTCAGAAACAGTGGGGTCTTCTTTTGCATTGCCATTAAAGCAAAAATCATTGCAGCCCCTCCTGACAGGCCCAGCCAAAAAAATAAACTGAAGGATGAAGTTTCTGGAATGGGCCGAGTCTTCATGGGTTTGGCCACACGATCCCATTGGGTAAGGATGGCCTGACGGGCACCTCTCCAGTGCCCCGGTCCGCTCAGTCGAAACTGGTAGGGAGTACAGGGCCCGAAGAAAACCCTTAAACCAACAGCAGGGTCCCTCAGGAGCAGCCAAGCAATGTTGGGACAGACGCCCACTTCCTTTGCTATTGTGTCTAGGTAAGAGATGTAGTTCACTTGAAGGGCAGCCAGCTTGGGACAGGGGTAACTGTGGAGAGATAGCAGATTAACTGTCAAAATAAAACCTATTTGAAATGATCATCCAGGTGAATAAATAATTACCTCTTTAAATTTGCTTGTATGTCTTTCTCAATTATTTTATCCATTTTCTCAGCTGGAGGAAGATGGTTTAGTCCTTGAAGAACAGGCAAATTAATATGATTTTTTTTTTTTTTTACCCATAATCACATAAAAATATGTTTCATATGATTCTCTATATTTACTTCACCTACAAATCACAAAATGATTTTTTCCCCATGACTTATGGTTGCTCATTACCTGCAATGACCCTGGTGGCCCAGCGTGCCTGTAGCTCTACAGCTGGCATGATCGGCCCTTTGGTCAGCAGCAGGCCCATGATGGCCAATGTTGGATGCTCAAGAGATGGAGGGAAGACTCTTCTGTAGAGTTTCATATCTCCATCAAAACCAGAGTTTAAGGAGGAGGGGAGGAAGGGGAATCTATAATCATATCCTGTGCATAAGATCACTGCATCAATCTTCTCTACAACAGTCCCATCATCAAAGACAACCGTCGAGCCTTGAAACTTCTGCACATTTGGCTTCATCACCAGTTCTCCTACCAGAATGCGACCTGGAAGGTCATCGTTTATAATGGTACGCTGATCGAGAATCCTGGAATAAAAAAAACTAAATAAATTGGGTAAAGGTCACTGTGAATCATGAGGTAATTTTTAAACTCTCAGGGCTTTACTTTAATCATCAACAATGAAAAGAGTTTGGTAAGACTCTTTGAGGATCATGTTTTGACCCTTCACCTGTGAGCAGGCTGTAGTCCATACAGCTTGTGGTCATGTCTCTGATTGAGGCTTCTCTCTCCAATCCAGTTGAGCAGAGCTCGAGGCAGGAGGCTGTAAATAAGATCTCGAACTCGTCTGACCATCGTCATATCTAGAGGAAGCCCTTTACCAGCCATGCGACCTATGACCCAAGCACCTTTCCGGGTACTCAGGAATGTCTAAGAAAATGGGGAACAGGAAGACCAAAGCAATTTGAGAAATGGAAACTGAATTAGTAGATAGATATGAGTGAATGTAAGCTTGTCAAAATAGGAGAATATTAATGAGAAACAACAGAGTAACCACATATTCGGAACCGAGGGGGTAAAATGGAGGTAATAATCAGCCATATGGACACAGAGTTTGATGACATATTGTGCATTCATTTAGCAGGGGTAGATCTAGAAACTTAAATTTGGCATGAAATGGAATAATTTTTTAATTGGATCGTTGCTGTTTGGTAATTACTGCAATCTCATGTGAGTGACAGGCTGTTGAACTGGAGAGGTTATTGTAGATGTTGTTGCGACGAGGAGGGTAAAGTTATTTTGATGCAATATTACAAGGGGATATGAATTTAAAAAATAACTATTATGTGCACAGATACATTATTTATAACAAACTGCATTACATTAAAAATGATTTCATTGGGAAGTTTAATGTACATTATTTATATACATACTATTTAATGTATATTTATATTACTGCACTTTGCTATATTACCCCCCAAATTTTTAACCATTTACAATTATTCGAAAAAAAAAAAAAAAAAAGACAAATATCTATTGTATTATGAGGATGAATTTTATATTTGTTCTTGTTAGATAGGTAGTTAGTATGCTAAATTAATTAGTCATATACTTATTTTAGTATTATGTTGATGTATGCTAATTATGACATTAAATGGATTAATAGTGTCAACAGTAAGTGGTTACATATTGTACCTTGGAATTCTACCATAATCCATTACTTTTGAAAAGTATTTATTTATTTAGCTGTCGGAAGGTTGCAATTTGATTTCATATTTAATTATTTAATTTGAAAATAATCAGTTGGATCCTGTCACAGCATCACCCTGTTTGGACTTTGTTCATTGATCTAGTTTCTGTCTCCCCTTGATTGCCTTAGTTAGTTCACCTGTGTCTTGTTAATTTAGTCATTATCCTTGTTTGGTCTGGTATTTAAGTATATAAGAATGTGTTTGTACCTCACGTTCTGCTGTTTGTGGACTACCTGTTCTTCAGTGTTTGTGGAATAAATACCCTATTTGGATTTAGCTTCTTCGAGTACCTTTACCTTCATCTCGCAGCAGTGTGATAGAATGTCCGCTACGCTCCCAGTGTTGGGAGTCGCAAGTTAGTGTGTGTGGGTGGCATACACCTTTCTGGAGGACCCCGTCTGTCATGAGCTCCCACCCAGCCTCCCTCTCCTGACCCCTCTCCTGTGTTCTCAGTCAATAGGTGTGTTCGACTTGATGCAGTACTGCGCAGACCTATCGGCGGCTGACTAGAAGCAGTGCATGCCGGTTAGAAATTCTGTCCGACTTGAGTCGGCGCTGACGCCACGTCACTGTCACATGTGGCATCAAAGTACCGCGATAGTGCTCCAAGAGCAGCCGTCTGACTCAGCCGGCGCAGTTTCTCCAGAGCAGCTGCAGGAGCTTTGATGACGACACAGCTGTTTCACGATTCGGCAAATTCACCTCATGACAACCATCACGTGGGTTTTGGGTTTATTCTAACATCCTCAATTCCAATAATGCTCACAAATCTGTGTTTTTAGAACAATAAAAGCTTTTTTACTTTAGTCACAGTGTTATATTGAGTCACATTTATCAAAAAACACTGATAACAGCATATTTACCCTCACTTTATTGGTATTTAAATAGTATTTCTGTCATGACAACTCTCGGAGTGATTTGCATGGTAATGTACATGACAATGTTAATGTATCTGGTCTTGGCGGAATAGATCTGCTACGCTGCTGCTGTTGCTGCGGCAGCGCAAGTACCGAGACTTGCTACTGCCAATACATCCACAACATGCTGCTGTGAGCATGTAAGAAATACTGCTGCTGCACATATAACATGAATAACCCCCCACAAAGCAGGAGACACAGAAATGAACAATACAAGCCAATATGTGCATGTCGCTGCGTATAAGGATATAACTGCATCAGTGCACATACATGTCCACACACATAAATATTAACAGACAGGATAGACAAGACACCCCCCACAAAGCAGATCTATCGCCAAGATATATGTACTGCTGCTGCTGCTCCAAAGAGCCATGTGAACCGCATATATTGCTATCTACTGTATGTGTGCCTGGGCTACCACGCCAACCAACTTAACGTTATTGGCCTATGGCTATGTGTGCCTAGGCTACCACACCTACTGGCTTAAAGGGTTAGTTCACCCAAAAATGAAAATTTCTATCATTAATTACTCACCCTCACATCGTTCTAAACCTGTAAGACCTTCGTTCATCTTCGGAACACAAATTAAGATTTTTGATGAATTCTGAAAGCTCTCTGACCATCCCAAAAACAGCAATGTAATTACCACGAGCAAGGTCCAGAAACGTAGCAAGGAGATCGGTAAAATAATCCATGTGACATCAGGGGTTCAACCGTAATTTTACGAAGCTACGAAAGTACTTATTGTACGCAAAGAAAACAGAAATAATTACTTTATTCAACAATTCGTTTCCTCCGCGTCACCCTAGCACCATTTTGGAGAGTATCCACTGAACTTAAATAGTGTATGCTGTTCTCTGTCAGCTGTGCCACGTGGATACGCATAGTGCAGCTGACACAGAACAGCATATGCTGTTTACGTTCAGTGGATACTCTCCAAAATGGCACTAGGGTGACGCATCAAGTTTCATACCAGAACTTTGTATATGTTTATGTTGAACTTTATTCTTGAACTGATGGCACTGTATTAAGCAGTATAAAAAAGTGTTTCTGTTGCTAATGAAAAAGTATCTGAAACGTATGTGTA